GTCGCAGTAGTTGGGAGAGCGGGAGCAGGCTGGATGCTAACCGGTTTCCTTTCGAGTACCGGCACCGGCACCGCCTCTGCCGCGTCTTTTTTCTCCCGTGTCTTTAAAGCCTTAATTCTCGATTCTGGTTCCGGCTGCTCCTTACTGGGGCTTCGCTTCTGGCGACACGGCGCTGCGACAGTAGTTGACGCGGCGCGAGGCGATACCGCAACAATCTGAGCGTCAATGCTTTTGGGTGCCTGTCCGTCGTTGTCGGCTTTGTCTTTAATCGCGTCTGAGTCGAGAGTGTGCCATAGACTAAGCTTAATGGGGACGGCTGTGGCAGCCACGTCAGCAATTGGAGCGAGAGGAGCGGGAGGGCTGCAGTGGTTGGGAGACGCGGGGGTGGAACGAGGGGAGGGAGGGTCCCGGACGGGCGTGGTTGGGAAGAACTGGAAAGCGGAGTGCACGCATTCGCATGGCTGCTGGCTGTTCGTGCTACAGAATGGAGCCAAGCACGAGGCGGCAGACCGAGTGGGTGAGGTGTGAGAGACTTGTGTAATTTCGCTTGCGGATGTCAGGAAATTCTCTTGCTTTTTGCACGTCGCAGTAAGGTGATCCATTGTCGCGCGAGTACGTGATAGGAGAAGATAGACTGGGTCGTAAAGAGCATAACGCACATTAAGGTGTCTAATCTAAACGGAAGCCCCGACGAGGTGTGCTTTACTTGACGTGTAAGGAAACAACGAAGTTGAAATGCTAGAAAAATGATCCGTGGAATGCTGTTGCATCTGCAGCGGAAATGCTCTGCTGCAGTCTTCTCTCTCCACTCCAGCTGTTGGTGTTGGACGAGATGCGGTCGCGGTGCGGAGGAGGGGCGATGCGCAGGTGAGTGACGGATGGATAGGATACACAGTGAGTAGAGAAATACGGTGGAATACAAAGGAGTTAAAGATGTTTCCGCTGGTTTTCATAAAGAGTTCAATTCGGTTGATCATCTAGTTTGCACCACCTCTCAACTCATCATTCGTTCCCTCTCCTACCCCTCCCGAACCCTTCTGGTTTCCCGTCGAGTGATCTACTTCCTTCCAAACCACCTCCCGAACCATCTCATCCGCCTCATCCGTCATCCCTTTCTCCCAACTTCCAGGTTTCCGCTGGCTTGGGCTGTTTTTCCCTGGCTTGGGATTGCTCGTTCCCCTTTCCGCAACCGAACGGGCGAATCGCGAGGGAGGTAGGCTAGTCAGCCAGAGATCGCGGTGCCAAGTGGATGGAGGGAAAAGAGAAGGGATGGAAGAGCAACCACTGTGGATCAGCATTGGATTGGACGGAAGACGATAACGGAACATTGCCTTACCTGATGCGGACACCACATCTTGGGGATGTGCAGATGTCGACGTGGTGATCCCAACTTCCACTGAGCTCGGAAGGGCCACGTCAGCACCGTGAGGGTTGCGAATGAGTTAATGGTGACGATCAAGTGAGCCAGCACAGATGCGGGAAAGTCGTCAGTGGTCCCATGATCTGCCTCAGATCGACGTGTTTAGCGTGCAGCTGAGTCCTGCTGATCCACACGTCGCGGATCACCGACAAAGCTTCCAATCAGCTGGGACTGTCTACGTGGAAAGTGTAGCAATAGTGTTATAAGCAGCCAGGTCACCATGATGTCAAGTAGAGTCACATACACGCCTTCTTGGACTCGTTACCAACAACTTCAACGACAACCACGAGTTCAAGTCCGTTCGAAAATCTAGTGGCGCACAGTCAGAATTCTGCGGCTGGCCAATAAGAATCGAGATATTTTGCTGAGCGTGCTAGCTCGTGGTCAGAGGTAGCCGTGAACACGTAACACTCGGTTCTATTGTAGCCGCAAGTGAAGCTTGGCATCTGGAAAGGCACAGCGTCAAGCACATTTCCCAGCCACGTCGGTTCCTTGTCAGTCGCCTTGATCCTGTCCATTTGTTGAGGATAAGGGACCGCCAGGTACAGTAGCTCACCGAAAGCATGGCAAAATGCGTGTTTCGGCCCTCAAATTATCCACCTAGCGAATCAGCCATTACGAAGGTATGGTGCATGATTACCAGAGATAAACCCTTTTGCCTTCACTGGTAATGCTAGTCATTGATATACACATCCACAAATAGAGTGCACAATGAAGTGAATCATTAGGTACATGCATGCAAAACATATAGGTATATGTAATATTTTCAAAGTGATGAGTAGGTTTTGCCATGTACTTATAAGCACCCGAGTATTGGATTTTTTTTCGAGATTAAACTTCAAAGATATAAATTGTCTCCATCACCTTCCTGCTTGTGTGTGTGAAGTTGTTATAAATATATGGCTAACTTGAAACTGATGCTGTGAAACTGCTTGTTCTGAAAACCTGAAGCTAGAACTGAAACGAATTGATTGTTTCTAGAAGCAACCTCAATTTCCCTCCCTGAATCTTCGGTCGGGTTTTGCCTTGCCGAGTTGCTGCGGTGGTTGTTGCCAGCAAGCAAACCAAGCGACAGGGCAAGCAAGCTCACGCGTTCTTGCTTTTTGTTTGGTGGGTTGTTGGGTTGGGATGTTTGGTTGAGCGAGACACGCGCAGGTCACTAGGGACGGTAGTTAACAGCGCTTCGTTGACGGTGACTTGCCGCGACAGTCGTTAGGGTTACTGGAAGATGTAGCAGAGAATCCTTCGTGTACTTAACTGACTATTGGTTAATTTTTTAGGAGTGAATCTGACAGCAGCTTCTTGCTTAGGTTAGCCTCGCTTTCCAGTTTCTTCTTTTAGAGTTAGCGAGGATGGGGAAGAATCAGCAGTACAAGGCGGCGCAACGAGCCAAGTCGATGAGCCGTGGGGGTGGCGGTGGTGGCGGCGACGAGGAGAGCAATGATGGAATGGTAATGATGTTTGCACCTGGTGTGCTGCATTCCCTAGCTCTCTTATGTGCTATCGGTTCTCGTTGTTCTCCTTTTCGTACGTTGCGTTAATTTATGGAACGACGGATTACTAATTCAGCCATTGGCAGATTGATGGATCCTTCCATTCTCCAGCATGGCATGCTGCACGCCTGGCAGCCTTGCAGACGACCAACACGCTCACGTGGGAGGAGTGGAAGGCTCAACGAAAGGTATGCCCAAGCTCTACGCATAGATAGACAAATGTTCGATGGCCAGCATTCCTGCTCGTAGCTGGCAAAACTCTCCGCTTTATTTGAGAACTACGCTTAGCTTTCGTAGATTCCTTACCTCCTTAGTGGAGGCTGTGATTGATTATGATTGTACTTTCTGGCTCGACGCGCTGTGCGAGCAGGAAGAGGCGAGGAAGCAGCAGGAAATGGAGGGTTTTGAGGAGCAGCGGATGAAGGAGTACCGGGCTCAGTTGGACAAAGAGCGAGAAGCGAGGCTGTCGCGAGGACGAAACCACGCGGATAAACGCGGGAAGCTAAAAAAGAGTGCGTTTATGTCTTTAACACGTAAGCTTTGCAAGGATCCCATGTCTATGGTCCACTGATGTTATACACTTCTTCTGTTCTGTTGCTTTCACCCTGTCGATTTGTTTGCGCAGGCAAGGACAAAGATAAGAGCAAGAAGAAGGTGAGGAACTCTGCTGCAGTTCCATGCTTTGCCTTGTTCCTGTTTCCAATTCTCAGAGTTCTTTGAGTCTCAGTTTCTCTCCTCACACCACTACTCCATGGTTATTGTCTGACATCATATGTGGCACTATTTCAGAAAAAGAGCAAGCGCAAAAAGGGTGATTCTGAAAGCGACTCAAGCAACTTGAGCAGCGACGACGAAGACAGCGACAAGAAGAAGAAGAAAAAGAAGAAATCCAAGAAAGATTCGGATGCTTTGAGCAGTGCGAGCGAGGAGGAGGAAGGTCCTGTTCGCCTGTCTTCCTTCCTAGAGAAGGGAGATGACGACCTACCAGGGTCTGACGATGAGGATGAGCCGCTGCCAGCTAAAAGCAAAGAGAAGGGGGGCGATTTATCAAGCATTTTAGCTGAAGCTAAGAGAAGAGCGGAGATTGGGGCTCACATGGTGGCTGAAGTAAAAAAGGCTGAGATGATCCAGTCTGGTCTGCCCTCCTGACAATCCTCTCCAGCAATTCTGCCAGCTAGCCACCTTTCTTACCCTGATTCCTCTTCAGCTCACCCTCAATGATAGGGTGAACTGAAATGTAGTGTTTAGTTGGAAAATTCTCCCTGCCTTCGGACTGGCACTGTGTTAATTAATGGTTTTAACATTATTAGATGGATACAAAAGCTACAGTAATTGAGTAGGAGCATGTTGCTCCATCTAACAGGGGTATGCGCCCCACTTCCATACCTAGTACATACCATACCAGCCAACCAATCTGTCCAGTTAGACACTGGCATTGAAGCTAAACACCTCTATTCTGCAAGCAAAAGCCATACCATACTTGGCTACACTTGCTTATTCTGCACTCGACGACCGGCAAAACTGGCATGCACTTATTACCCCTTACCATAGCTGCAGGGCTTGAGCCTCAGGTCAGGAGCTCATCAGGCAAACTGGCTCGAGTTTGTTGGGAACCATGGAGCAGCAGATACCGGTAAGCCACTGGAATGCACCAATGACACTAGGCTCGAACAAGGCCCCATCATTTCTGGAGGGCTGGGAGATGAGCAACCCAACCCCACCCAACCCAACTGCACCGCCCAGCCGCTCCCATGATGGGCTTTATGATGAGTCCCATCCCAACTCCAACCAACCACACCCCACTCCTGGCATCACCACCTGGGGTTCTGCCACGAGATGTCCAGCCACGAGCTGAGATGCCCGTCGCATAATGACCAACCCCATTTTACCCCACCAAAGGGCACCCAACTCAGCTCCATCCAGCCGCACCTCACCCCTGGCATCACCACTTCGGGTTCTGCCCCGAGACGTCCAGCCAGGAGCTGAGGTCGACAAACGGCTCGGGGTCAAACTGAGACGCGTCAGATCAGAGATGATGCCGGGATGCACCCAACCCGACCGCACCCAGCCCTATTCAACCCCTCCCATCACCACTTGGGGTTCTGCCCCGCCACGTCCAGCCAGGAGCTGAGGTCGACAAATGGCTCGGGGTCAAACTGAGAGGCGTCTGAGATGATCCCAGGGTGCACCCACGATGCTCGGCTGGCAGCATAGCCCGGCCCCGTGCTGCCCTTCTCTGCATAGTACACACAGCTGCCCTTGCTGTCTCCCCCCCACGTGCTCCACCCGTCCCGCTCCAACTCCTGTGGGATAGGGTGTGGAAGGAAAGGGGGAGAGGAGAGGTAGAGATAAGGACAGAGTGTGGAAGAAAGTGTGTGATACAGGCAGCTAGTAGGGGAGGACAGAGGGGAGAAAGGGCGAGGTGAGAAGGAGAAATGAGCTGAATGAGAGTATGTGGGGTAGGCACCTGCATTGGCAGTGACTCAAAGCCTTGTGACTGTTGAGATGACTCAGAGCCTTGTGACTGTTGAGATGACTCAGAGCCTTGTGACTGTTGAGGTGACTCAGAGCCTTGTGACTGTTGAGATGACTCAGAGCAGGCATGTAGCTATTATCAAAGACCATGCGCGCACAGTCCTTACTCATGGTAAGGACTCATACACCTGCCTCTCTGCACTTGTTTAGCCTGAAGTGACTCACCGCAGGCATGTAGCTGTCAACAAACACGGTGCGAGCACAGTCCTTCCACGGCCGGCCGAGGTAGACCTCCGAAACCCCAGAGTCAACTGAGATCTTGGCGTTGCGGATCACGATTCCCGTCGGCGTGTTGCTCTCCCGCCCCGATGCCGTGATGGTTGCAAACGAACTGAAGGGGTGGGGGGGGAGGGGGGGGGGGAGAGAGGGAAAGGGAGGGGAGGGCGGAAAGGGGGGAACGGGGGGTTGAGTGAGGGGAGAGGGCCGCCCCAGGTAGACCTCCGAGACGCCCGAGTCAACTGAGATCTTGGCGTTGCGAATGACAATGCCCGTTGGCATGTTGCTCTCCCGGCCCGACGCCGTGATGGTTGCAAAGGAGCTGCAAGGTGATGGGTGTGGCGGAGGGGGTAGTGGGAAAAGAGTGCAGTGGGAGTAGAGGGTGGTTGGCAAATCAGTTGCGGATGACCATGCCTGTAGGCGTGTTGCTCTCCAGCCCCGACGCTGTGTTAGTTGCAAACGAGCTGCATGTGAGGGATGAGTGTGGTGGGAGAGGGAGGAGCAGGGAGATGACAATGTCCACTCGCACGCACGACATATGTGCGTGGGAGGAGATGACAATGTCCACTCGCACGCACGACATATGTGCGTGGGAGAAGATGACAGGGAGCTGCGTGTGAGGGATGAGTGTGTTGGGAGAGGGAGGAACAGGGCGATGCGGGTGCGAATGACAATGCCTGTCGGCGTGTTGCTCTCCCGCCCCGATGCTGCTATGGTTGCGAAGGAGCTGAAAGGGAGGAAGGGCGAGGAATGACAGGGCATGAGAACAGGGGCGTGAGTGCCAGAAATAGGAGAACATGGGGGAACGGGAGGAAAACAACAAGAACACACACATGAACTAAACACACAACATGCTGATGTGCTGATGCTGATGCTCTTGCTGATGCTGATACTGTTGATGCTAATGATGATAAACAGGGACCTCAGCCCCGTTGCTCACCTGTTCTTGTGCTCGACGATGGGGGGATTGTCTATCCCCATCGCTGCACCATAGTTGTGTTTTGAGTCGACTTTTGAGTCGACTCAAAAGCGCACCATAGTTGTGTTTTGAGGCGACTCAAAACACGTAGCAGTCCTTGTAATCACAGTCATCGAGACCCACCCCCACCCCTACCCCTCCTGCCCACCTGCTCTTGTGCACCACGATGGTGGGATTGACTATCACCACGGCTGCATCGCCAAATATCAAGTCAATGACCAAGAAAGACCAAAGACCAAGAACACAAGTAAGCCCCCCACCCCCACCCCCACCCCTACCCCTCCTGCCCACCTGCTCTTGTGCACCACGATGGTGGGATTGTCTATCACCACGGCAGCAGCTTCAAGGCGCTGCATGAACAAACACAGAACTCAGGCACGCACCCCCCTCCCCTCCTCCTCCCCGCCTCTTCCTCACCTGCTCTTGTGCACCACGATGGTGGGATTGTCTAGCACCACTGCTGCATCGCCAAATATGAAGTCAATGGTGCCGCCGATGTAACAGTCCTTGTAGTACTGCCTGCCTGCGTCCACATAGAGCGTGTCCTGATGCAAGAGAATGCGGAGAGAGAGGAAGAGAAGGGAAGAGTAAGGAGAGAAGGGGAGCATGAAGTCAACAGCAGCAGTCCCTGTAGTACTGCCTGCCCACGCCCACATAGAGCGTGTCCTGGGGAGAGATGTAAGACGGGAAACGGTGAGTATCTAGACGGGAAAGAGAACAGCATATTTGTGAGTATCAAGTCCAATGGTGCCGCCAACGTAGCAGGCTGGGAAACGAGGTCCGTTCTCACCTGGATAGAGCTGTACTCTCCCCCTAGCAGTGACCAGTGACCCCTAGCAGTGACCAGTGACCCCTAGCAGTGACCAGTGACCCCTAGCAGGCTGGGAAACGAGGGCCGTTTTCACCTGGTTGGCCTTGAAGGCGCATTCAAAGAAAGCAGAGCGGTCGCTGCCGGCCCTTATGGCCACTCTCCCTCGTGGGCACTGCCTGGCGGCTTGAAAGTCAACTCAACTCAAGGCAAGGGGAGGACGCAGCAGAGCGCTGCTCACCTGGTTGGCCTCGATCGAAGGCGCATTCAAAGAAGGAGCGAGAGGGGAGTGGGGTGCAAGAGGAGGGTTGGCCGCACCTGGTTGGCCGCACCTGGTTGGCCGCACCTGGTTGGCCTCAAAGGCACACTCTTGAGACGTCTCAAAAGGCGTCTACTTACACACGGATTTTACATAGAGGGGAGTGGGGTGCAAGAGGAGGGATGTCCTCACCTGGTTGGCCTCGAAGGCACACTCGAAGAAGGCAGAGCGATCACCACTGGCCCTCATGGCCACTGCCTGGTGGTTCTGCGGCCCGGCCGTGTTCTCAAAGCGAATGCCCAAAGCGCAGAACCGCTCCTTGTTGGCCCCTGCAAGCATAAAGGGGACACACCATAGCGAGACACATGGGAAGGCACAGAGTGCGTCACAGACTTGCATGCTTCTGCTCGGCTGTGTTCTCAAAGCGGATGCCTGAAGCACAGAAACGCTCCTTGTTGGCTCCTCATGGTGCAGTCACACAGTCACACACCACAGTGGGGCACATGGGAACAGGGCGCATGGGAACAGGGCGCATGGGAACAGGGCGCATGGGAACAGGGCGCATGGGAACAGGGGGACACCATACGAGGTGGTTTTCTGCGGCCCGGCTGTGTTCTCAAAGCGGATGCCCAGGGCGCAGAACCGCTCCTTGTTGGCTCCTGGGGGAGAAACAATGCACAATAACGGGGCACACGAGGATAAGGGAAGACTATTAGAGGCAGTCCTTCAGTCCGGTCATGTTCAAAGCGGATGCCCAGCGCCGGGCACAGCGCACAAAAGCCATAACGGGGGCAAAGCGGATGCCCAGCGCCGGGCACAGCGCACAAAAGCCATAACGGGGGCAAAGCGGATGCTCTATTGGTCTCAGAAAAAGCGGATGGCCAGCGCACAAAAGCGCTCCCTGTTTGCACCTGGGGGAGCACTCACAGGGAGGAGAGGAAACACGGGGGTGACTTTTGAGGCGCCTCAAAAGCACTCACAGGGAGGAGAGGACACACGGGGATGGGGGTAAGTCAGGTGTTGGAGGTTTGGGCACCCTCACTTACAATCAGGCGGTTTTCAGTCAGGTGTTGGAGGTTTGGGCACTTACAATCAGGCGGTTTTCAGTCAGGTGTTGGAGGTTTGGGCACTTACAATCAGGCGGTTTTCAGTCAGGTGTTGGAGGTTTGGGCACCCTCACTTACAATCAGGCGGTTTTCAGTCAGGTAGGTATGTCCCTTGCTCCAGCCTCCCCCTTCCCTGCACCACATCATGCCAACTGCCTCTCACCCATGGTGGCGGAGCGGTACGTAGCTGACCCGCTGCCAGCGCTCTTATCCCCCGTGATGATGGTTTTATCTGCGCCACCCCCCACCATGATCAGCCCCTTGTTGCACCGTGCCTCCAATGCAGCACCGTGCCTTACCTTGCGGCACCATACCCCCCTCCCAACAATGCACCGCTCACCGATGGTGGCGGAGCGGTAAGTGGTCGACCCACTGCCGGCGGCGCTCTTATCCCCAGTGATGATGGTTTTATCGCTGCCCTCCCCCACCATGATCAACCCCTTGTTGCGGAAGATGATAGACTCATGGTATGTGCGGTGCGGTGCGGTACATATCAATTGGTTCTTACCGATGGTGGCAGAGCGATATGTGGTCGACCCACTGCCGGCGCTCTTATCCCCAGTGATAATCGTCCTGTCGCTGCCCTCCCCCACCATGATCAGCCCCTTGTTGCGGAAGATGATGGACTCATGGTAGGTCCCCGCGCGGATGAATACCACAAACCGCCCCTCCTTGGGCGCTGCTCCCAACGCTCCCTGCGGAGGAGCCAGGAGGGGGAGGGGCGGGGATGGACGGGGGGGGGGGGAAGGAGATGGTGGACTCACAGTATATCCCCACGCGCACATGAATCGAGTTTTGAGTCGACCCAAAACTCGACTCGCAGCATATCCCCACGCACACGAATATCACAAACCGCCCCTCCTTGAGGTAGGCTGGCAGTTCACCTCCCCCCCCTCACCTCTACAGTGATGTATTTCTCCCCCAGCCCAACCACAGCATCCTCTCACACATCTCGTCCTCCTCCCCCCTCCCTCCTCCCCCCTCCCTCCCTCCCTCCTCCCTCCTCCCCCCTCCCTCCTCGCACATCCCCTCCTCGCACCTCTCCCCTGACGGTCCTCACCTCCACGGCGTTGTGTTTCTTCCCCGGCCAACCACAGCATCATCTTACAGATTTAGCCCTCTTTTCTCCTCTCACCTCCCCTCCTCTCACCTCCCCTCCTCTCACCTCCCCTCCTCTCACCTCCCCTCCTCTCACCTCCCCTCCTCTCACCATCCCTCCCCTCACCTCCCCTCCTCTCACCATCCCTCCCCTCACCACCCCTCCCCTCACCTCAACAGTGTTGTATTTCTCCCCCGGCCCAACCACAGCATCCGCCTTAAACGACCCGCGCGTCCCGCCCCCCCCTCCTCCCCCCGTCCCTCCGCCACTCCCGCCCCCGCCCTTCCGCTTCCGCGTCCACTTGTGCTTATGGTGCCCCACCCCCGCGGGGTGGTGCGCGCCCCTGCGCCCGTTCCGCCACAGGTGCGTATGGTGCCCGCGCGTCACTCCCCCTCCCCCCTGCCCCTTACCCTCCCCCCAGTGGTTCGGCTGCTTCTCCTTATGCGCGGGCCCCGTCCCAGGCGCGTGGTGCAGGGTTCCGGGGGAGTGGTGCCCCGCGGTGGGGAGGTGTTCTGCGGTTTTCTTCCCCATCGTCGTCGCTAGGGGGATCGGCGCGCGCTGCGTTGAATGGTGCGCGGGGATGGGGGGAGGACGGACGGAACGGGGGCTAGAAAGGGGGTAGGCGGAAAGGGGAATAAGGCTCTTCCGCGGGCGCGCTTGCGCCTGTAGCTGTTGCGCCTGTAACCATTGCGCCTGTAGCCCTTGCGCCTGTAGTCCTTGCGCTTCCAGCCCCCTCCGCTGCGGCGCGCCTCGTCTCCGCCACGTGTCACTCTTCCGCTTCCGCCATTGCCCCACCCCGAACCCTCGTCTCCTCGTCCCCTCTGCCGCCCCCCTCTCTCCTTCCTCCCCTTCCCCGCCGTCGCTGCCCCACGTCTCCGCGGGGAGCCCCAGCAGCTTGCGCCGTCTGTCCGCCCACTGCTGCGCGCGCGCGTGCTCTCCGCGCATGCGCGCCTGGAGCTCCTTCAGCTGTTCGTACAGCCCCGCCTCCAGCCACTCCGGGTGGTGGTAACCACCCGCTTCTTCGCCAACTTCGCCAACCTTACTGTGGTAACCATCCGCGCTTTCGCCACGATCACCACTGCTACTGTGGTAACCACCCTGTAGCGAAGCCTGTCGGATAACATCGTCAGTGGCGCGCAGCTGCCGGTTTCGCGTGCCTGTGAAATCCCGCTGTTGGTCATCGGAATCAGGTCCCTCGGCATCGTCAGCAGCGTCAGCATTGTCAGCCGCGTCAGCATTGTCAGCAAAGTCAGCACGGTCAGCCGCGTCAGCATTGTCAGCAAAGTCAGCACGGTCAGCAGCGTTAGCAGCGTCAGCGTTATAATCCAATCCATCTCCGTCCCTGTTGTTCAATGTGCCATCCTCAATAGCAGCGACTGTAGCAGCCACTGTAGCAGCATTGGTTGCAGCGGCTGTAGCACCGCCAGTCGAATCGTGGTACTCCCAAGGCTTCTCTTCGCTTTTACCACTAGCAGCGGCACCACTATAGTCATCTGATCCGCTTGTGTCACTATCATAAGTAGTACTACCGAAACCGTAATCTATGTCAGCATTAGTACTTTCGAAACCGTCACCTAAGTCAGTAGCATCGCCGTCCAAGCCAGAGCCCTCGCTCGGACCAATATCCGTATCGGAGCCGTCGCCGTCACCGTCTGATCCGCTGTCGTAACCGTCGACGTCATCGCTAACGTCGCCGTTATTGCCAGCGTCGCCGCCATTGTCGCCACCGTCGTCGTAGTAATCCGAGCCACGATCGCCGCTTTCGTTACCACGTGTAAGGGGGTCTGAGTCGTCACTCGCGGTGGTAACACTGCTGCGACCACCACCACTCACGTTGCTGCCTAAACCGCCGTCGCCATTGTTGTTATCAGTTGGACCGCCGCCTGATGCGCTGTAATAGTCTGACCCGCTGTCATACCCGTCGCTAATGTCGCCGTTATTGTCAGTAGCGTCATCGTAATAATCCGAGCCACTGTCGTCGCCATTCCTGCCAGTAGCCGGAGAATCCGGACGGTAATTCGCGCTGCTAACACTGCTACTGCGACCGTTACCGTCAGAGTCTAAAACGCTGCCCTCGTTAGGTGAAGTTTTACTGTCAACGTCGTCGTACGAACCGCTACCTACGCTTCCACTACTACTTTGAACGTCCTTAGCGAAATTAGCATCATTAGAGTAGTTAGCCGAATAATCGGAATTCTCGCCGTCACCACCAATATCAGTATTACCTTCACTGATGTTGTCCCAAGAAATGTGTAAGAGGTGGCTGCTATCAGCAGTAGCTTGCTGAAATGTGCTGCCGCCTTGGGGCGAATTATCAAGATCATCATACCCGCTATTGGCACGCTGCGATTCTTGGTACTCGTAACTGTAGTAATCAGATTCGCTGTCGTTACTGCTTCTGTAATCGCGATTGTACTCGTCGTCATTCCCAAGGGACATTTTGCCCACTCCGGTTGGGGTGGACTTTTCACCCACATCGTACGACCCAGACAAGTCCGCCTCGTTCAGCGACTGCGCCTGAACCAATTTCGGCCGTTGCTCCGCGCCTTCGAAGTGATTTTGCCCACCCCTTCTATCCCTACCTGTAGGGTAGTCACTGCCTCCGTCTATCGGGTCGTCATACTCGTACTCGTTATAGTCATACACCGGCTGCACCTGGGACCACGCGAGCTGTTGCGATTGCGCTTGTACCTGGTAACCAGTTTGCGGCTGCGCCGGGGTTTGCGGCTGGAGCCCCGTGCTATACTGTACAGCGAGATGCTGCCCCACCTGCGCCCCTTGCGCCGCCTGTCCCGCCTGCGTTGGCCGCAGCCCCGCCTGCCCCTTCTGCGCCGCCTGCCCCGCCTGTGTAGGGCGCAGCCCAGCTTTCCTCCCTTGACCCAACTGCCCTGCCTGTGTTGGGCGCAGCCCCACCTGCCCCCCTTGCGCCGCCTGCCCCAGCTTCCCTGCCTGCTCGGACTGCTCCGCTTGGCCCGTCTGCCCCGCCTGTATGGGGCGCAGCCCCGCCTGCGCCGTTTGACCACTTTGCCGCGCCTGCCATGGCCGCAGCCCCGCGGATTGTTGAGCGGGGTACAGCACTGGCCGGCGCAAACCCGCCCCCGCTTGTCCTGCGCGCATGCCGACCGTTTGCGCCACCTGCTGGCGGTTGCTCTGCTGCCCTCGCGCGAGAGTACCGTACCCTCTATAGGCTGACGCGATTGTGACGGCGGCGTTTACGGTGGACTTCACTTGTGCAGTTCCCATCTGCGAAGCGCCCAGCATGAGAATAGATATGAGATGTTCAATTGTACGAAGCGACACGAATGCATTCTAACAGGGAGCCTTAGCACAGGCGTTCACCGCATCTTAGAAGCAACCAAAAAACGTCCACATGCCCCAAACTTGTTTCCACACGCCCCCACATGCCCAGTATCCCCCATATGACCCATACCGCAAGAATGGCTCCGAGTTCTGTCTTGAGGACTCCGGGTGCGAACTCGGCGAACCCGGTAACGCAGTTACTGAGTTTCGTTTTGATCGCCGCCAGCTGGAAGCGCAAGTCGTCCCCGCGGGGCCCCGCGCGCAGCTCCAGGTATGCCTCGCGCACCTCCTCCGCCGCGTCCGCGCCCTGGCGGACGAGGCGGTGATTGGGGAGGGGAAATGAGGAAGAGAGGGATGGTGAGGATCACGTCATATGAGTAGAAGAGAGGGGTGGGAAGGGTGGGGGAAGGGTGGAAAGGCGGTGGCAGGGAAAATGGCGGTGATTCGAGCTCGATAGGAACTAAGGCAACGCAGTCATACCTGCTCAAGGCAGTCATCTGAGACAGCTCGGATGAAGTGCTGCTGACTAGGCGTGAAGCTGGAGATATTACTCGCTTGAAGCCGCCTCACCACCCGCATCATGCCGTGCACCTGGCGAGACACGCACATAGCACATGGGAATTGGAGCGACATGTTGACGATATTGTCCGGTTACCAGGCAGTCGCGTTTCACTTGTACTCGCTTCGTTGCGCGTTGCTCTCACCTGCACCTCGACCCGCACGAGCATGGCTGCTGTGACGTCCTGTTGCTGCTGCGGCATCACGCCCAGCGACCGCCGCGCGCTGCGGAACTCCGCCACGCACTCCGCAATCCGCGGAGACCCCGCGGGCCCCGCGCATCCCGCCGGAGGGGTAATAACCAAGAAGTTGTCTAGAACGTGCCACGTGGCAGCGGCGGCCACGGAAAGAAAAACGGCTATTGCTAAACGGGGAGCGAGCTGCTCCATGCGTCCTTTTTTACTAGACGCTGACGTGTCTGGTTCCACGCTGAGTTAATCTATAGCATTAAGGTGAGAAACATTGTGATTGCAAGAGAGGCGGTGGCCGATCTCTACTCCGGTTCGCGGGCGCATTCAAAATGTCGAGTAAGTTATGCCGAACCGTACTTGTCGTACTTGCTGAACTTCTCGTAATCGTAAACAGCGAGGGGCTCTACGCGTGAGACTGATAGCACCAGTGTGCAGGGGCATCACATACGGCGCGTGTCGCACTCGAGCCGAGAACATGTCAAGAGTCAAGAATTACTCGTTGTCAAGCACTTCGCTTCGCGTGTCTGCTCTGATTGGCTGTCGACAATGCAGCATCTGAACGGTGCGTGGGAGATGAAGTAAGCCTCTAAAAGATCTCTCCTCCCCATTCGAGTCGAGTTAGCTGGCTAGTTTTAGTAGGAGGAGAGGATAACGGGGGCAACAGCATGGTTCGTTAGGCCGAGACTGACCTACCTCCTTTCCAACCACCCCCTACTGCACACATGCTTGAGACGCTGTGTGTGGAAGCGCGGCTCCGCCTTGCCCCAATGCCACAATAACATGCGCGCCTCGCTTGCGCGACCCGACGATTTGACATTGATTGGTGGAATTAGCCCCTCTGTGTACTGCACATTGATCAACCCAGCGCGTTCGACGGAAAGTGATTCGTTGTTATTCTTTGATGCGAATCTGATCTCTAGTGGTACATGTAATACAAGCTTATATTTCGCTCAAAGTAACATTGTTCACAACTTGTGTAGGTACCTCTGGTATTGATACCATCACCATCACATCTGTCAATGGATATCTGCAAAAATACATTGTATCAACAAAATTTATCGTCCATTACATTATACACATTAGAGTATACATCATATACAATCAATAAATTGAGTATGTTATCTTCTCCTTTCCCCAGCACTGCAAAAGAGGGATGGCTCATATGGATCTCTACATTCCCCTGCCTAGAAAATATTGAGGGCAGTGAGGCCGAGACCAAGGCACCAAGCCAGGCTTTGCCCATGAGGCTCTCCCGGCTGCTGCAGCAGCAGCAGCAGCAGCAGCAGCAGCAGCGCCTTTCCCACCAACACCAGCAGCACCAGCGGCATCAGCAGCAGCAGCGCGAGGGGCACCGGGGCCAGAGCTGCCGGTCTCGGCATAGTAGACACAGTCGCCCCGTGGGTCGCCATTCCACGTGCTCCACCCTGCTCCCTGCATGCTCTGGCCAGGGATGTGTATGGGGGTACGGTCAGAATGTGCATGGGGTTACAGACAGAATGTGCATGGGGTTACAGACAGAATGTGCATGGGGTTACAGACAGAATGTGCATGGGGTTACAGACAGAATGTGCATGGGGTTACAGACAGAATGTGAACAGCGCGAGGGGCACCGCGGCCAGAGCTGCCGGTCTCGGCACAGCTGCGTTGCCTGGAGCTGCAGTCCCGGCAAGGGGACTGGAGCTGTAGTCCCGGCAAGGGGACTGGAGCTGCAGTCCCGGCAAGGGGACTGGAGCTGCAGTCCCGGCAAGGGGACTGACCCTGCACAGAGCTTCCACGGGCTGCCTCGGAGGCACTGACCCTGCACGGCCTGGCCTGGCTTTGAGATGCTTCGAAAGACTGAATGGATGGCAAAATGACCGCAGTCACTGTGCCTGCTGCAGACTCGCCACCACACTCACCGCAGGCAGGTAATTGCCGATCATCACCACCACCCGTGCACAGAGCATCCACGCCCTGGTTCTGAGACGACTCAAGGGCCTAAATCCGCAAGAGAAAAGAGTGAGAAAACTCACCTTTGGAAGGTAATTGCCGATCATCACCACCCGAGCGCAATTTTTCCACGGCCGCGCAAACGATCCCTCCTTTACCCCCTCCCCCGCAGTCACATTACACCCGCGAATCACAATCCCCGTGGGGGTGTTACTCTCCCTCCCGGACGCCGTGATCACAGCCGTCGATTTCCCCGAGCGCATCTCCACCGTCGATCGGTCGATCAGCGCGGCCGCATCGCCAAAGATGAAATCCGTGAATCCCGAGATGTAACAGCTGCTGTAGTACTGCCGCCCGGCGTCCACACAGAGCGTGTCCTGGCAACCCGTTATCGCGCTGTCGTAGACAGCGGACCGGTCGGCGGAGATCTTGAGAGCCACTGCCTGCTTGCCACGTGGCCCTGCTGTGTTCTCTATCCGGATCCCCACTGCCATAAAGTTGCCTCGGTCCACAGCTGCCAGTGGGAGGGTGTGAGAGAGGAGAGGGGAGGGAGGAGGCATGAGTGAGGCTGCAGGTGTGACAGCTGTTGCAGTAATCTGAACTTTTTCCTTCCCCGGCGTCCACACAGAGCGTGTCCCGATAGCCCGTGATTGCGCTGTCATAGACGGAGCGTGTCCCAGGGGAGCCAGGAGGGGAGTCATGGGGAGGCAGGTGGAGTAGGGTTTTTTTTAGAATTCTTAAAAAAAACCCTACAGCACCAGGGGAGCCAGGAGGGGAATCATGGGGAGGCAGGTGGAGTAGGGTTTTTTTGAGAATTCTTAAAAGAACCCTCAGCACCAGGGGAGCCAGGAGGGGAGTCATGGGGAGGCAGGTGGAGGGAGGAGTATGCGTCCACACAGAGCGTGTCCTGGTAACCCGTGATGGCGCTGTCGTAGATGGCAGAGCGGTCGGCGGAGATCTTGAGAGCCACTGCCTGCTTGCCACGTGGCCCTGCTGTGTTCTCTATCCGGATCCCCACTGCCATGAACCAGCCCCTATCCACCGCTGTGAGTGAGAAAGGGAGGAGGAATGAGCGTGAGGGAGGGGGGATGAGTGTGAGGGAGGGGGGATGAGTGTGAGGGAGGGGAGACGATTGCGAGGGAGGGGGATGAGTGTGAGGAAGGGGGGATGAGTGTGAGGGCGCAACAACAGTGACAGGGCCACATGGCAGACGAGGCATACCAAGAGAGGCAGAGCCGTACTTGGATGAGCTATCAGCCGCACTGGCGTGAATCTGTTTCTTGAGAATTCTAAAAAAAAAGAGCTATCAGCTGCACTGGCGTGAATCTGTTTCTTGAGAATTTTTTTAAAAAAAGAGCTATCAGCTGCACTGGCGTTGGAACGTGGCAGTGATCACGATGCAGTCAACTCCCTCCCCCAGTGCATCGTGATCGTCTCCCTCCCTCCCCCAACAGCATGGAGTGGTGAGCATTGAGAGGAGTGAGAGCAGTGAAAGCCCCGGAATCATACCTTTTGAGGCGCCTCAAGAGAGGAGTGAGAGCAGTGAAAGCCCCGGAATCATACCTTTTGAGGCGCCTCAAGAGAGGAGTGAGAGCAGTGAAAGCCCCGGAATCATACCAAGAGTGGCCGAGGCGTACGTAGATGCGCCATCAGCAACACTGGCGTTAGCAGTGATGTGATGACAGTGCGGTCAGCTCCCTCACCCACCGGTGACTTTTGAGTCGACTCAAAAGTCACCTCGTGCGGTCAGCTTCCTCCCCCACCGGCATGCACTGACGAGCACTGAGAGCATTGAGAGTGTTGAGTTGAGAGCCTACCTACAGTGGCAGAGCTGTATGTGGACGCGCCATCAGCCGCACTGGCGCTGGCAGTGATGACGGTCTTGTCAGCCCCCTCCCCCATCAGCATGCAGCGATGAGCATTGAGAGGAGTGAGAGCAGTGACAGCACTGGAATCATACCTAGAGTGGCAGAGCCGTACGTAGATGCGCCATCATTCACACTGGCGTTGGCAGTGATGACAGTGCGGTCAGCTCCCTCCCCCACCATCATGCACTGACGAGCACTGAGAGCATTGAGAGTGTTCAGTTGAGCGCCTACCTACAGTGGCAGAGCCGTATGTGGATGCGCTGTCAGCAACACTGGCGTTGCCTGTGATGACGGTCTTGTCAGCCCCCTCCCCCATCAGCACCACGCCCTCCCTCCCCACGCGCACCTGCTCCCGGTACCACCCTGCTCGGATGAAGATGATGTATGGGCGAGGGGTATTGGCAGCAGGGGATGCTGCGTCCAGTGCTTGCTTTGGAGAAAAGGAATGGGAGAGGAGAGGGAGAGGAGAGGGAGAGGAGAGAAGGAGAGAGTAAGTTGAGCGCACACATCCACCCTCCCTAAGTGGCCCTCTTCTCGAATGAGAAAGACTTATGGGCGAGGGGTGTCTCGCTCACCTGAATGCGCTTGTACTGCTCCCCACGCCCCACAATTGCATTCAAAATCAGTCCCACGCCTCCTGCCGCCACCCCCAATGCCCCTGCCCCTACCCCTGCCCTTGTCCCTGCCGCTATTCTCTTTTGGAATGCATTCATCTTCGTGTACAGCCCCACGTCTACCCACCTCCCCCCTTGTCATCCTGCACGCCTCGCTCACCTGAATGCGCGTGTATTGCTCCCCACGCCCCACCACCGCATCCAAAACCAATCCCACGCCTCCTGCCGCCACTCCCCCTGCCCCTGCCCCTGCCCCTGCCCCTGCCCCTGCCCCTGCCCCTGCCCCTGCCCCTACCCCTGCTGCTATTCTCTTCTGAAAGGCCTTAATCTTCTTGTAAAGCCCCACGTCTACCCATGCTGGTGCCTCGTATCCCTCCAGCCCCCCTCCCTGCTGCTGCCGCTGCTGCGCGAGGGATTTTTGCTGCTGACACGTGGCAGGATCCAAGAGTGGCACGTCAGCAGAGGCCAGGGCCACTGCGGTTTCAAGGAGGGACTCGCACTGATTGGTTACGTTCTGCGGGCGAGGGGAGGGGAGGGGGAGACACAAGAAGAGGTCGACTCAACCGAGCCACTGCGGTTTCAAGAAGAGACTCGCACTGGTCGGTTAGGTTACATTCTGCGGGTGAGGGAAGGGGCGGGCACAAGGGGAAGGGAGAGGAAGAGAGAAGAGTGGAGGGTGGGTGGCGATGGGAGGGGGCGAGGTGAGGGAAAAGGCAGAAGGAGCCTCTAACTACCGGCCTGCCCTCAACTCACTGTGAGAGCGACACCAGGCTGGGACTGCAGCGACGGTGGAGTGAAGTAGTTAAGTGCGCTCATGCAGTTGCGCATCTGGCGCTGCGCCGCAGCCAGCCAGTACGGCACGTCCACCATTCCGTTTCCGCCGCCGCCTTCAGTTCCGCCAGCAGTTCCGCCGCCAGTGGCGCGCGCGCCGCGCGCTGATGAGGAGAGCCGGTCGGCCGCCAGTCCCAAGTGGTACAGCGCGATTCCCGCCTGATCCGCGCATTCCTTCGTTATAACCTCCGAGTAGTGAGTCCTAATCGTCACGTTGGCTTTAATCTCCTCGAGCAGCGGCAGAGCCGCGCGGACTTGCGTTTGGACCCGTTGCACTAGAGCGCGAATCACGGCGCGTCTAGAGGCGGGTGTCGCGCCTAGAGATAGCCGCGCGACGCGGAATTCGGACACGCATTTCGTTTCGTTGAGAGCGGAGAGGCATTCCCGAGGCGCGCGGAAAACGTAATAGTCGTCTGCGATTAAGTACAGGAAGGAAAGACAACACGCAACCCCGGCCGTAACGGCAACCGCCCGGAAGCTTCGCCCGATGATAGGACTAGTGAAAATCGAAGATTTGGAGAGTCCAGGCAGCGGAGTCGCGAAAACGCTTTGCATCGTGGCTTGCGGCTCCAATGGCTTCACCTTACGGTGGCCTAGTCGCATCGTATCTCGTCTCCGTTCGCGATAGTCTGTCTGTACTGCCCTACGATCATCATGGCGGCGCGGGGTGTGACAAATTGCTGTTCCGGCTGAGGTGAAAGCAAAGAGGCGAGGATGGGAATGGGATTGAGGAGAGACGCGGGAAAATCGCGGTTCAGCGTTTGAAAAGCTGAACACTTGAAACAGAACATACAGAGAGCGTGGTCAGGCCCCCAACCCGAATTTGATATCATGTGACGATTATGTATCTATTATAAACATCCCCCTACTGTTTTGAAATTTTATTATTTTCAAGGGCTCCATAGAAATCCAGGACTCACTCAATTTGGTACAGCAGTTACAGAAATAATATCCCAATTTTTATTTCCTTCAGAAAATCAAAGCTTTATCTAAGCACAGCGCCCATACTAAGAAAGATCCTGACGTTAGAGAATCGGCCCTGCCACTAGAGGTGGCTAATATATGGGCTTCCTAAAAGCATAGAGCAGGGAAGGCACAGGGGAAGCTAGACACAGACAGACCAATATGTAAGCTCAGCTTGACGTTAACAACAAGCATAGTTGGATGGCTGGAGAAGCATGGCTGGTGAGGTATGGCAGGAGAAACTGGCTGAAGAGGCCAAGGCTGAAGAGAAACTGGCTGTAGAGCAGGTGCGCAGCTGGTAGACACTGCCAGCAGGCAACTGGTCAGTGATCTGGCCTAGTCAGTGGTCTGGCCTACCACGTCCAGAAGTTTACTTGAGAATACCGTCCACCACGTTCAGCCACTTGCTCAGTTCCAAAAACGGCTGCGGCCCAAACTGCTTCGCATCCGAGATAATCCCCGGCTTGGCCCACGAAGCACGCTTGCTGGCCGCTCCCGGCCCCGTGCTGCCCTTCTCAGCGTAGTAATGGCAGCTCTTGGGCTTGCCCCCGTTCCACGTGCTCCACCCGTCGGGCTGAATCTCCTTGGGGAGGTTCGTATCAACGTACACCACGCGCGCACAGTCCTTCCACGGACGGCCCAGATACGCCAGCCGAACGCCGCTCTCCGATTGGACCTTCCCCGAGCGAATCACAATCCCGGTGGGGGTGTCACTCTCCCGCCCAGACGCTGTAATCTGCACCTTTTTCTTCCCTGCCCGCAGGAAAATAGTCGGCGAGTCGATCAGCGCTGCTGCATCCCCAAAGATGAAATCCGTGAATCCCGAGATGTAACAGTTCTTGTAGTACTGCCGCCCGGCGTCCACACAGAGCGTGTCCTGGTAGCCCGTGATTGCAGAGTCGTAGATAGCGGAGCGATCGCCGCTCACCATCAGCGCCACCGCCTGCTCGCCCTCCGGCCCCGCCGCGTTCTCAATGGTGAGACCCACCGCCATGAACCCGTCCTTGTTGGCGGCTGAAAGAACCAAGGAAAGAGTGGCACGAAGTGGCGGGGGCAAACAGCGTTACTCGCCGCGGTCAGCACCAGCACCGGATATTACCAAGGTGAATGGTGAAGGGTGACGGGAGAGAGGACCAAGTGAGGGGGGCGGTACTTACTGACGGTAGCGGAGCCGTAGGTAGACGATCCGCCGGCGACGCTATCCTTGCCGGTGATGATCGTCTTGTCCTTGCCCTCGCCGATCAGAATAATGCCCTCCTTATCAATGCTCAGTTGTTCCTTGTACACCCCTGCCTTGATAAGTATAACGAAGCGGCCTTTAGACGGGGCGGCTTTAATCGCGCCGCTGATTTTCTTGTACTTCTCCTTCTTTCCCACCACCGCGTTCGGAGTCAGTTTGGTCGGCGCCTTGGAAGTAGCGCCCTGCAGCTGACGGCGCGGATTTCCCGTCAGCTTTTCCGTCTCGCTTCGCTCCAGAACGCGCCTGCCACGTTCCGCCCACATTCCCGCGGCTTCCGCGTCGCCCGCGACGTGCGCTTGAAGCTCTTTGATTTGCTCGTACAGCCCCGCCTCGACCCATGAGGGCCGTCCGTCCGACTCGGGCGTGTCATCCACGTGTTCCAGCGTCTGGCGACCGCGCTGTGCGACGTTCGCCATCGCCGCTTGCGCGCCGTTTGTCGCCAGAGCGATGGCGGCGTCGTACGTGGCCGCTGAGCGATGGATCACGGACTGGCGGAGTGGGGGCAATACCGAGCAGAAACGGGAGGCGCAAGTTTGGGATAAGGATCATCAACAAAAGTAAAGCTGGTATGCACAAATGCGCTTGGTTGAATATCCTTGCTTGTCCCTCTGGGTTACCGTGAGTCCGATCGTTGCGACTTACGTTAAGCATGATGCCGGAAGGCGTGTTGAGAGCCGCGGGGGAAAATTCCTTGAAGCCATCGAGGCAGTTGCTCATCTGCCGCCTCGCTGCCGCCAGCCAGTACGGCAAGTCCTCCTGGTTGCTGCCGGCCGCCAGCGCCGCCGACGCCTTTCCCAGATGGTACAGCGCCGTGTCGGTCTGTCGCTCGCAGTCGCCTGCGACGACGTTTCTCATGCGAACGTTGGCGAAGTTCATTCGCCTGATCTCCTGGGCGAAGGATTGGATCGCATGCGCTTGCGCGGTGAGGGAATTGACCATGACGGCGCTCGTTGCGCTTATCGGCCTTGGGAGTACCCCGAGCGAGCGCCGCGCTACACGAATCTCCTCCGCGCATGCCGCTGGGTCAAACGTGGATGAGCAGACGGAGGGGTGTATTATAACGAAGTAATTGTCGACAGCGTGACAGGCGGCGAGGAGCGCTATAGCGAGGCCCAGCCCCGCAGCGAGCCATTTGAGCCTGCAGCCTGTACAAGCCATGGCGGCTAGGTGACGAGGTACCGAGGCAACGAAGTGAGGGCAGACAAGGGCAAAAGGAGAGATGGTTTGTTTGGCGGGAAAACGTTCGCTAAATAGGTGGAGTGCTACACGCTCGAGTCAGAAGCTAGAAGCCCATAGGATAATCGTAGGACTGTGGTGAGGTATGATGAGTGCTCACTTATAGCGTGTGGAGAATGCTGGAGAGGAAAGAAGGCACGGCGAGGCGGTATGTGATCTGAGGAACGGAAGCAAACGGGGCAAGCAGTGGGCGCAGCGGACACAGCTCGAATCGGTTTCAAGGGGCTGGAGCCGCATCTGGATTCTGGAAGCGAGTGAGCGAATGGGCTTGGCGACCAACAAGTGCCCCCAGAAGGCCCAGTGCAGGGTAGGGAGGGAGGTGGTAACCAAGGGCTGGTGCTTCTGCCTTGACAGGACAGGCAGGACACGTCAGGAAGCTGAAATTCGTTAGGAACTTCCAACTCCACCCGAATCCTACGGGTAACGTCCAGAACAAATTTCCGGAATTTGTCGCGTCGAGAGGAGCGCGAATTACTATTGGCTGGACGACCGGCGCCAGTGAAGGATTAGGCGGCAGAGGGGCCTGCACGACGGGAACGACATGTTACAACAATCTCGATGAAAATCGCGACTTTCGCATCCATGGGTTGGTGGGGCAATGTGCTCAAATGAAAAACGAGTGGCACCGCAATGTGAGAAAACCAGGGCGCATCGAGCCGCTTTGACCCTTCTGTGAAGCACGCGGTTCGCCAAGGTGGCGAGGAAATCGACGGCGATGCGAATGTGGACAGGAAGGCCGAGAAGGGGCATCGAAACGCAAAGCTGACTATATAGAGCCTAACAGCTTCACTTCAATATAAGAGCTTTTCTGCATGGAAAATCACGCCACATGGCATCACTGGAGCAGCAGTAGCGTGTGCCAGACGTGTGATACACTTGAGTTACCTTCGCTATTGGCAACGCTAGTGCTCGGCGGCATCTCTTACCAGGAACACTTCGCTACTGTCAGGTATGTGTTGATGCGGAAGAGGAAGGACTTTACCATTTATATACACACCACATGGTAACTACAACACGTATGGCAAAAAGGGACAGAAAGAGGAGCCATTGTTGTGTGTACAAATAACATCCATTGTTGTTCTGCCATGTTTGGAACTCTGTAGTGTTATGATTAGTAATACTTGAATATTACTGTGCACTCCTCACCGTAGCAAAGCCAAAGCACGCACTATCGAGAGTGAAGACGAAAAGGCAGAAGAAAAGGCAAAGGGACGGACGGTTACGAGGAGCATCTCGACCGTCGGGCAGACAGCATCATGCAGCAGCAGTGGCGAGGATTCTGCCCGAACAGTTGCGTAACCACTCGGAGTTGCACGGTTGGATTTCGCTGCAATCAGGGAATGTACCCCTTAGAGTATATGGCTAGCTAGGTCGTTTCGAATTCCCGTGTACTCATATTTATATTCCTTGTACTGCATTGTCTTCATCATCTCAAAGCATTTTACATTCACTCTGCTATTGAGGTGAAGGGCCCACCAACATCACTTCTCTACGTGCGAACCTTCCTGAGTAGATCCTAGGCCACGATCAACTTCTGATCGCAGCATGGTATGAGAGCGACTCAGGAATCCTTCGCACCGCCATCTCCGAACTCTCCGACATTCGGAAAGTGGCGTCCGGCACACGAGCACGTGTAAGAATGGCCGGATGATCTGGAGGTCAGACGAATCTGATGGCTGAAGCGCAGCCCAACCCGGCTGCGACAAACGAGGAAACGACGACGATTCCTTCTGCCGTCCTCGCACAACTGCTTCAGCGACTCACGAGCCGACTACTCCAACAACTGTTGGAAACTAAGATTACCTCAGGGGAGAAGGTCAACAGCTACATCAACCGCTGTCGGAGCCTTTGCGATCAAATCGTGAAGTTGGGAAGCTCGATTTCCGATGAAATCTTCGTGAACATTGTGCTTCAAGGGCTTGGCCCAGAGTGGCGGCCCTGCAAGGCGCTCCTCTGACAGCAGGGGGTCATCTCGGAGGCCGCCCTTTGCGCCGCCCTTCTCGTCGAACAACGGGATATGGATCAGCAGCGACCAGCGCCACGACGAGAACGCGAACAGCTCGCCTTCTACGCCGTCAACAACGAAGAGCGACGACCGCGGCGCCTCTACTGCAAA